TAATGCGTACAAAGCATCTCCAGGTTCATTTCCTCATTCACGCTGTACAACTGCCACAGGTGAAGAAACCAAGGCAGTCTGGAGTCTTCTCTAGATCCCTACCACACCAGGGGCTGGGCCTGCCCCTAGACCCTCAGTGACTGGCAAGGGTCCATACAATTCACCACACCAGTTCCTTGGTCTGGCTTTATCTTTTCCTTGGTTCGGACAGCTCTTTTATGGAAAGGAATACTAGACAGCTTTATTTTTTTTTTTTAAGATTTTATTTATTTATTTGTCAGAGAGAGAGAGAGGGAGAGAGAGCAAGCACAGGCAGACAGAATGGCAGGCAGAGGCAGAGGGAGAAGCAGGCTCCCTGATGAGCAAGGAGCCCGATGTGGGACTCGATCCCAGGACGCTGGGATCATGACCTGAGCCGAAGGCAGCCGCTTAACCAACTGAGCCACCCAGGCGTCCCTAGACAGCTTTATTTTTAAAAGCTCTTTTTTAAAGATGCCTTTTAGGGGTGCCTGGGTAGCTCACTTGGTTAGGCATCTGCCTTTGGCTCAGGTCATGATCCTGAGTCCTGGGATCGAGTCCTGCATCAGGCTCCCTGCTTGGCAAAGGGCCTGCTTCTCCCTCTGCCTGCTTCTTCCCCTGCCTGCTGCTCAGCTCATTTGTGCTCTCTCTGTCAAATAAATAAAATCTTAAAAAAAAAAAAAAGGATGACTTTCGAATTTTAGATTCAAATTCCTTAAGGGAAATTTTAATTTTTTTAAAGAAAAATGTAATTGTGTATCACAAAAGCACTATTTAAATAACTCTCATTAATGCAGTTTACTATGTGCCATGTAGAGTTCTAAGCATTTTGCATATTATATATTCATTTAATCCTTGCAACAACCCTATGAGGTAATTACTACTATTGTCTCCATTTTAAGATGAGGCAAACTGAGGCACAGAGAAGTTAATTGACTTGCCCAGGTCACAGAGACAGAGAGCAATGGTGCCAATATCCATTCCAGGGGTCTGTCTGGCTTCAGAGTCTGTGATCTTAACCACTGGCTGTGCTCACAAGAGCTTTCACACATTTAGGAAAGAACCCCTTCTAAAAATTCACTATCTTGTGCTCTGAGAGATTGACGTTGTCTCCTTATTAGACATCTCCATGGTTAAAGTTGAAAGCCTTAAAAATAAAACTGTCAGTTATTTTACCAGGAAAGATGGATTTATTTGAGGGTAGCAAAGAATTGCAATTCAGAACAAACAAGTGTTAGCAAACCATAGCAAGTCCAGAGAACAAAGGAGAAGAATGCTCTTTTATAGAGAAAAAAGGAGAATTGGGAGGAGCTGTTATAAACAAAAAGTCCATGTAGGAGTAACCCAGGAGTTTGAAGTGTAGTGGCGGTCACGGCTGAGTTGTGACAGATTCTCATTGGCTGGGCTGTTGCCCCGCAAGGAGAAAACCTTTCTTGCTCCTGCTCTGGCAGCAAAGAATTAGCTTTTTCCTATTGGAAATGCAAAGTAGTCCCCTCCCATTAGTTATGCAATTGACTAGGAGTGTTTGGGGGCGAGGGCTCCCCCTTCTGGCCTCCCTACTGCATTTCTTTCTTTCTTTCCTTTCTTTCTTTCTTTCCTTTCTTTCTTTCTTTCTTTCTTTTTCTTTCTTTCTTTCTTTTTTTAAGACTTTATTAATTTATTTGACCGAGACACAGTGAGAGAGGGGACAAAAGCGGGGGAACTGGGGGAAGGAAAAGCAGGCTTCCCCACCGAGCAGGGAGCCCAATGCCGGCATCAATCCCAGGACCCCGGGATCAAGACCTGAGCCAAAGGCAGACGCTTACCGGCAGAGCCACCCAGGTGCTCTCCCTACTGCTTTTTAAATGAGGTTTCCTTTTATTAATTTTCAATTATGCGCATTAAGCTATAGCTCTTAGCTAGAACAAATCTCTTAATAAGTGGAATTTGTTAAAACTGATGCAATATTGTTTCTATTTAAATGGTGTTGGAGGCCACAGCATGGTTGGAGTCGAGGATCAAACCCGGCCCTGACTTGTGTCTCCTTCAAAGTCCGGACACCTTGACGAGGTTAAGGACGGGAAAGTTGGGTAACACTGAGAAAAGGGTCTGTGCTCTGTGTCGTGCGCTCGCCTACGTGACTTCCCACACACTCTCCCTACAGAAGGGAACAATGTGGTCAGGGTCATGAATTCTTAGTTGGTCCTTGTTGTTCCTGTACCTCCCATAACCCACTCCCTGGTTGATTGTCTTGCTAATGGCTTTAGCAGAGACTACCTGGCATCACGAGGTTTGCTTGTAGTTAATGTAAACTTGTTATAAAAACTTGCGGTCATCTGACTAGGTACTGATGTATTACTCCTCCTATTCTGGTCTGCCTTAAAAATGATTGTAAGATGTGGAATAAAATTGGCACCGTTGGACATCCTCCTCAGTGTCCCTCCTGCCCCCATCTCTTTGTCTCTTAATTTCTTTTCACCATCCTCTTACCCTCACGTTTTCCTGGTCGATTTGTCGTGCTGGCCTCGACAAAATGGCATATGTCAAGGTGACAAGAATTATTAATACCTTGGGGCTCCTGGGTGGTTGAGTTGGTTGAGAGGCTGACTCTTGGTTTTGACTCAGGTCATCATTTCAGAGTCCTGGGATCGAGCACCGACTTCGGCTCAGCACTCAGCACAGGGTCCACTTCAGATTCTCTCCCCCCTCCCTCTCTCTTACTCTCTCTCAAATGAATCAATAAAATCTTTAACAAAACAAAACAAAAATGCCTTGGATCACTGTTTCAGTGAAAAGTACACTTTGTGAGGTTTAAAATATATTAATCTTGTTGGAGAGAAGTACAAGGGGACATTAGATTTCTCTGAAATGTTCCAGTTTATTAAAGTAGAACATAATTTTTGTTTGTATAATTAAAAAACAATAAAAAATACACCTTTATTTAGTCAATCAAAAAATGCCTTCTGTGGTAGGCAGCCTCAACCTCTGATAATTAGTCTTATATAATACCCTCCCTTTGAGTGACTTGTTTTTTTATTTTTTCTACATTTATTTATTTTAGAGAGAGAGTGCACATGCGTGTGGGTGTGTGAGTGAGGAGAGGGGCAGAGGAAGAGAATCTCAAGCAGATTCCCTGCGAGCATAGACCACCCCCCCACCCCCCAGTGTGGGGCTCAGTCCCATGACCCATGAGATAATGACCTGAGCTGAAATCACAAGTTGGACACTTAACCAACTGAGCCACCCAGGCGCCCCTTGAGTAACTTGTTTTTAACCAGTAGAATATAGCAGCATTGAGGGATTAGCCCTTCCATGAGTAGGTTACAGAAAATCATCACCTCTGACTTGCTAGGACTCTGTCACTTTCTTGGCTTGCACGCTTTGATGAAGTGAGTTGCCATGTTGGAAGAACCACATGGCAAGGAACAGAAAATGACCTCCCTTGAGGAACTGAATGCTCCCAACAAATAAAACCATAGACCCTGAACCGACATTTTCATTGCAGCCTTGTGAGAGATTCCTGACCTACAGAAATCGTGAGATAACAAATGTGTATTATTTTAATCCCTAAGTTTTAGGGTAATTTGTTATACAGCAATAGATACCTTTTTTATACAAGTGAATTTTTGAAAAATGAGTTAATAAATCATCATACAAACCCATGTAAAAAAGAAGGTCTAGTCTACACTGGCAGTAAGTATCTGAAATCACAGACATGCACGGTAACCACATCTGCCACAACCATCTGAGGGGCTTAACTCAGTCTTTTTGTTTGTTTGTTTGTTTTAAGATTTTATTTATTTATTTGACAGAGAAAGAGAGATCACAAGTAGGCAGAGAGGCAGGCCAGGGTGGGGTGGGGTAGCAAGCTCCCAGCTGAGCAGAGAGCCCAATGCGGAGCTTGATACCAGGACTCTGAGATCATGACCTGAGCCAAAGGCAGAGGCTTAACCCACTGAGCCACCCAGGCGCCCCTTAACTCAGTCTTTTGCAGTCAGGGCACCCTCCAGGGAAGTGGTGGCTCTAAGGCAGGGGTGAGTAGGAGTGTGGGGGTAGGGAGGGAGGAAGCATATGTATCCCTTACCATCAATGCCTACCACCCCCCACCTTCAGGCCCAGAGGTGCCTTAGGACAAGGGCAATCCTATACAAGGCTCTCGGGCTGCGGCCAAGTCTCCCCTCTCAGACCAAGAGGCCTCCAGGGAGAACTTCTTGTCACCCCCAAGAGCCACAGCAGGCTGAACTCCTCCTCCCCAGTGACTTTCTCTCCATCTGTCCCCTAGCTCCCAGCCCAGAACTCTGCTCAAAAGGGCAGCTCACACGGTGTGGAAAAGAGACCACCAGACAATGGGTAGAATAGAAACACAAACTCAAGAAATGCATTTCTCTGCCCCAGTTTATTCCTCGGCTTGGCCCAGAGGCCTGGTTCATACTCAACATGCAAGGGCTAGACACAAAAGTCCCCAGGACCATCACTTCAACCTTACTTCCTATGCCCTTCACCCACCCACCTGTCAGGGATAGAACACTTTAGAGATAGGAAGAGCACCCCCATTTTGAAGATAGGGAGACTTGGCGTCATGCCACTGCTCACCCACCAAGACCTTGTATCCTCATGGCTCCCAAAAGCAAAGCAGAGAGCTTGGCTCCTGTAGTTCTTGGTTCTCCCCAGAATTCACCCACTCTCCATGTCACAGAGCCTCTGCTGGAGCCTGTCAACCCCCAACAAAAGGACCATGCAGTGACAGATAGGGTTATAGGCTGACATTGCCCCCTGCTCCTCCTGGAAAGTCAACTATGGCTCCTCTGGGCCCAGACAGCCTGATTTCAGGAAAACAGACCAACCTAATTTAACATACAGTGTCGCTAAAGCCAGAGAGGCACAGCAAGTAGAGGCACAAAGAAGAAAGTGAGATTTTTTTTTTTCCCCAGCAGTCTTGGAACAACTCGTCCATTCCTTGCAAGCGAAGAAGCACACATTCACTTTCATCAGAAGCTTAAATCAATATGGTCTGCAACAGCTCCTTTGCCGTGGAGAAGTGTGCTTTGTTTCAAAGTGGTATTTTAGAATTCCCTTTCTCCTTTTCTTCACAGGGTTCTGCGCTCTCTTCTCCCCCATCCCCATCTCCCATGTGCCCCAAGGCAGAGTTCAAGTGAGACAGCCCTTTATCTTCTTCTCTGATCCCACCTGCCTCCATCCCTGCCACAGTGTTGATTACCACCCCTGGCTCCCCTCCCTCACACTAATTCTCTACCAGGTGCCCTGGCAGAACTGTGGCCAAAAAGCCACAGCAGGCCAGAGCAGCCACCATACTTCCCACAGAAAATCCACCATCAGGGACAATAGCCTTAGCAGAGCGAAGTCTGAGAGGAGGGATGGGGAGAGGGTGGAGAGCCGGCCTGGGAAATCTCAGGGGACTGGATCAGCCACAACCCTCAGATAAATACTGCAGGCTAGCCCTCTCTCCGGAGCAATGGGACCCTGCAGAGGAAAGAAGGCTACGGTTGGCATCGGGTAACACAGGGTGTGGATACCCCCACATAAACAGCTGCATATGTATTTGCATACACCTGCTTGTGAGTCTGCCTGCAAATACACGTGCCCCTGATACACACTTCCCATGCCTGCACCTGCACACACAAAGACACATTCATATACACCTCCCACGACCTCAAACTCACGCATATGCACACACACCTTCTGTATATATATCCTCCCTCGTGCACACATACGCACATTGCCGGCTACCTGTGCATGCACACATACACAAACTCACTCCCTCTCCTCTACATGCTCCACACACCCTATGTTCACGCGCAGAGGCCTGCACCCAAGTTAGCTGGCATGCACACACAGGTCCGTGCCCGGACGCATCTGCCTGCAGGTGGGCGCACACAGTCACTTTTGCTTGCCTGCACTCATACCAGCAAATAATCACGTACTTCCTTGAGCACAAGCACACACATGCGCACAAATCTGGACATACACCCCTGCACCCTGGCAGAGACACACCCTTAGCCCTGCTCCTGGGGCCCAGAGGGGGCTGCCCTCTGTTGGAGACAGCGGATCAGCTCCTTCCGGTTGTCCAGGATGGTGTCGAAGCTCTCCTGCAGGCGGGCCTGCTGGTCTACCAGCTGGTGCTGCAGGCCCCGTATCCACTGCAGCAGGGTCAACCGGCGGTACATCACTAGGTGCGCATGGTGCTTCTCCTTCTCCTGCTCTTTGTAGCGCTCCTGGGCCTGCAGCTGCTGCACAGCCCGGGCCACCGAGGGCAGAAGGGGATCTGCAGGCCCCAGGCCTCGGGGGGTCCCACAGGCCGGCTCAGGACTGCTGCTGGAGCCATCGGTGCTTGGAGAGCTGCTGGCATAGCCGTTGTCCTCCAGCGGGGAGCAGACCGCGCTGGCGCTGCCCAGCTTCTCAAGCTTAGCTCTGGGGATTTCTGCCCCTTCTGGGGGGCTGCGCACCTCCCCCTTAGGGAGTCCGGGGTCCTGGAAGGCCTGGTTGTCAGAGGGCAACTCAGAGGAGCTCCTCATCGGTATGGGCTCCACATGGTCAGGCATCCCATGCCAATTCTCATTGGCGTCTTTGACACTTGCCATGAAGTTAGAGTTGTTGTCTGGTTGGAACTCTGGCTGACATACTCCCGGTGGGCCCCCTGGGAACTGGCCCCCCTCAGCTAGCCCTGGCTGGATGGTGAACATTTGGTCTGTAAAAAGGAAGCAGAAGAATGAGTTAGAGCAGGACAGGGGTTCCAGGGGCAGGGGAGGGGGGTGTCCCAAGTCATGGCAACCTAGAGGCAGGGGCAAGGCAGTCTCAGTCCCTTTCCCTCTGGTAACACTTCCCTTTGTGGTTCTCCTCCTCCCTCTCTGTTAACTCAGTGTCCTTCCCCGTGTAGGGTTTTCTCAGCCCTCTGAGGCAGCCTGTCTTCTCTCTGCCTGTCTATGTCACTCTATGCCTGTTTCCTCAAAGGACCCCATCCTCTACGGTAGCTTCAAGAACCATCAGGTGTTGGTGACTCAGATGTGTCTCCAGCCCAGATCCGACTGCTGTCCAACTCTGCAACCAACCACAGGCTCCCCGAATTCTACACGTCCAAACCAGCTCTCCCTCCCCAGTGTGCTCAGCGAAATGGCCCCCTACCCATTCAGTCACTCTAGTCAGAAACCTGCAAGCAGCCCCGACTCCTCGCCAGCTTCCTTCCCCCATCTCACCAGCTACCATGTGCTGACAAATCTTCCTCATGAAACCCTGTGCGTGTATGCACAGCCATCAACCTTCCCTTTCACTCGGTTCAGGCCATTTCTTCCCTGGAGTACCGATGGCCACAGCCTTCTCACTGATCTCCCTGCCTCCAGTTAAAAAAGTAAACTTGACTTGTCACAGCCCCGGGTGCTCTCTCTAAACTGCTGAACCTCCACATGGCCCACAAGGTTGTGCTCCAGCTGGCCCCTGCTCACCCCTCCAGACTGGCCTCTTCCACTCTGGCCCTCTCACTACCCCCAAACTGCTCAGAAACCTCAAAATATGCCATCATTCACTTCACACAATTCCCTTCCCCAACACACACACCCTCCCCTTCCCCTCACCTCTAAGCTCCTCTGTTCTCCCAGCAAATTCCTTTCTGAACAAACCCCGAACCCAGCTCTCACCTCCCAGCTCTCAACTCTCCTCGCTGAGGCCTTCCTGATAACCAACCCCTGCCTGCCCCAGCAAACATCAATAAGCACAGTTAACCACGGCTTCCCTGGGCCCCCAACTGCACTGGTATACACGGCTTTGTCCGTATTTGTTCCTTGTCCCTGGAACGGAGTTGATGGTCAGTAAATGTTTCTATGCAGTCGTTTGGGGGTTTGTCTTGTTTTTGGACTATCTTGTGCTAGCAACTTGTACGTGACTAATTCTGGAGTTCTTCTGTATCTCCTCTGTCCTATCCCCGGAGCCAGCACTCAGCCTGGCGCTAAGCGGATGTCACTGTACACAGATCCTGAGGGAGTGAGCGCAGGAGGGGGCTGCAGTGGGCTGTCTGTGCTCAGAAAGAGGGAACCAGCAGTAGCAGGAGGTTACTGCTGGCTGCCCAGGGCTGGAAGAGCTGGCTTCAGTTTCCTCCTCTGCCCCAGGGAGCGCCCCCATGCCCTGCGCCCATACCCCACTGACAAGCCTCTCTCCTGACCTTGCCCCCTTCCCTCTGCAACTACTATCTCGTGCTGGACCCTAGCTTGCTCCATCCTGAGGCCCCAGAGGGAGGGCCTATCACAGCCTTCCTCCCTCCCCACTAACCACCTCTACCAAAACTAGGGTTTGAATCGACAAGAGGATTCTACTGACCGCATATTGCTAGGATTAGAAAAATAGAGGATCGGTGAGAGCAAGAGATAGTAGAAATACAGCATACACTGAAGAGGTATTTGTAGGTACCAGGGACCCTCCCTACGTCCAGTAATGGACAAAAGTCCCGGGGTCCCTTAGTGACCTATATGCTCCCATCCCTCTAAGCTATCTTGGACATCCTCGCCCGCCCAAATGTTTTCTCTTTTTCCTAAGCTGGGCGGGGCCACAAGGCAAGCAGAGATGCGGTGGTTGCGGCACTGAGGCTCACGGGGTTCTCTGAGATGGTGAAATGGGAACCCAGACACCCCGACATCAGGCTTCCCCCCAAGCTAATCTGCAAGTCGGCCGGGGTCGCGGGATGGGGTGGAGGGGGCGGCGCTTGGCTCAGTAAGGGTCGAGGAGGCGGCCTCCCTTCCTGCCTAGCTCTGAGGGACAGGACCTCCCCAGGAGACAGAGGATAGAGACCATCCTTCCTTAAGCTCCCCATAGGAGGCAGCCAGGCGGAGGCTGCGACACCCACCCCCACCCCGCCCCCCAGACCTGGACCGGCACCCCTCCCCTCGCCACCCCTCTCCTCCCCTCCCCGCCCGACTCACGGCCTGGACGCGCCCGCCCCGGCGCGGTTGGCTCTGCTCCCGCGTACCCGGTGGCGGGATCTCGTCCCTCGGAGCGGGGTGGGGGGAGGGGGGGTCCTTCGGCTGGCCTGGGCGGCCCCGCGGGCCGGGCGTGGGGTGCGGGGTTCCCGCGCGGCGCGGCCAGCCCCAGGCCCGGACTCCGGAGTCGGGCGGCGTCAGCGCGGCGGGGCGGGGCGGCCGGGCTCACGTGGGCCGGTTCGGGGGTTCTGCCGAGCTGGTGGCTCCCGCAGCCGCAGCCCGAGTGCCCGAACCGACTCCCCGCCTTCTGCAGCCTTGACCGAGGCCTGCCGGGTGAGGGGTTTATCTTCTAACTGCATCCACTGGGTCCCTCGGATCGCTTTGCGTCACTGCAAATACAGTGACATTTTCAAAATGAAAATCTGATCATGCCACCTGCCTCCTGCTTAAAGCCTTTCAAATGGCTTCCCTTTTTCGGGGTAAATCCCGAAGGCAGCAACCACAGGGTTCTGAGCCACCCGTCCTGTCTACCTACCCAGCTTCATCCTCTGCCCTCCGTCTCTGCAGTTAGGCCTCACGACCCTTTCTGCCACACGACTTCTGCACACACTGTTCCCCGTACCTGAAACTCTGTTCCCATTCTCCACTTACTCATGTTCCAGCTCTCTTCTCGGATAAACCTTCTCTGACCTCCTAGACCGGATTCGTTTCCCCTTTTATGTTATCCCAGGGCACTTCGTTCCTTTCCTTCATTGAATCTGTCGCAGTTTGAAATGATATATTTATTTTGTGCTTATTTCATTAAAGTCACTTAATGAAAGCTATGTTTTAGGAGAAGAAAGAAAATCTGCTCTGGGACAGGATTGGGGCTCCTGTCCCGCACCTAAGCCCTGGCACCTCCCTCTCTGCAGGGTGGAGAACCTCTCCATGGTGTCTGTGCAGTGAGCTCTTCTCAGTTCCTGCTTACTAAAGCCTGACCCCCTCACTCCCTTCTTTCTAGGACGAAATGTGAAGGGGTGGGCCTCGGTTTGCAATAAGAGAATGGATTGGGAGCTGATTCTGACTCTAATGATAAGAAAGCACTGGCTGGTGTTAGGGAAGTTATGGCTTCTTAAATTTAACTTCTTGCCTAAGGAAGCCCTAGAAAGGAGACTGGGACAAATTGAGCCTTCAGGGAACCCACATGAGATTCTAGGAGATCCCTTCCATACCTCTCACTTTCCTGAGTAAAGCAAGCAACTGGCTACAACCTTCTTCACGTTCTTCCCCCATCAAAAACAAAATAAAACTGGGCGCCTGGGTGGCTCAGTCGTTAAGCAGAGGTTGCCTTAGGCTCAGGTCATGTTCCCAGGGTCCCTGGGATCAAGCCCCTCATCGGGCCCTGCTCAGCGGGGAGTCTGCTTCTCCCACTCCCGCTGCCTCTGTTCCCTCTCTCGCTGTGTGTCTCTCTCTGTGTCAAATAAATAAATAAAATCTTAAAAAAAAAAACTGATATAAATTTATCTTTGGATCAAATACATTTAAAAATATTCTTGTCTTTTCCTCATCTCTTTCTGCTTCCCCCTCCCATCTTTTGCTATTTTTTAAGACCTCAGCCCCATTGCTACATCGGGTACTAACTAGTCTCCCTTTTTCCCTTACTCACTTCAAGTTCCTCTTGCCTTTAGCCAAGTGATCAAATGACGTGACCCAGATCCTCCTAAAGCCACCCTGAGCCCATGTGGTCTCGAGTTCTGCCGATCTTCCTGCGCCCTACAGCTATGTCAGATAGTTAGTGGTTCTGTGGGCCCAGAGCTTCTCCTCCCCTTACACCCCGCTCCCGTGGACTCCATCTCTCCCAGATCTAACTGTGTGGGCCAAATGGGAGCCTGATATATCCCCAGATGGGAACCCCACTCCAGGGGAGTTAGCATCCTTCTCCGGGACTTTCTGAAATAAAAGGAAGGCAAAGCAGGGAAGATAGATGGACAGGGCTGCGGCAATCACATTCCCTGCCAAGTGGGAGTCAGTTTATAGCAGGAGAAAATGATGCTTGTGCACGGAAGCAGAGACAAAAGATGGAAGTCCTGGCAACGTTCCGGTCCCTGCTTCCTGAGGCCCTTCTCTATCTTCCAATAAGGCCCCTATGTTGCCAAGCCTAACTTGAGTGGAATTTCCTTCACCGGCAATCAAATAAATCCTGATTAATACAAGAGCACAAGGTGGTGACCCAAGGGTCCTTCTCATATACCTCTCAGCCCTCATTAAGGAGGAGCAACTCTGTTTCCCCACAGTAAGCCATTATCAACCCGGCTTACATGGTGACCTCCTTTGAGATGCAGTGGAATCATCATAGTGTTTCCTCTGGGGAGGAATGAAACATTCCTCCCCGGACTCCGAAACCTCCTGACCTGTAGAGGTTAGAATGGCAGAGGCAGGAAGCAAAGTCTTGGAGAAAGTGTCACATGCAATCGCGAAACATGCTATGCCTACCTCTGCCTCTTACTATGTATTCTGGCTGCAGATCCCAATTCTATGCTGACTGTTGACCTGGAGCCTCTATGGTGCTCTGCGGGGCAGCCCACCACCTGGGGTAGCTGTGTCATCAATCACTCTCTCCATTGTCCTGTTAAGCTAGTTGTTTCTAAATAGCATCATCTGGGAGAAGGCACAGGAAGTCCAAGGGTGTTAGATTGCAGCCTCTCTTCTCTTAGTCAAGGGCAAAGTTGTGTGGGATCTTCCAGCCCTGGCTAATCAGGGCAGTGAGTGCTCAGACAGTGGTCCTGGGCATGCCATAATTT